GTTATCTGAGTGTATTCGTCGTCACATTATATTTGATTCCTTGCTGGATAGAATTAATACATATCATCAATGATATTTATGCACTCCTTTGCAATAATACTCAATATTATGATTTTTGGTTTTAGTACAATTTCCGAAATTGATAAGTACATTATGTTTTATCATTGGCTAAAGGGCTTTTTTAAAATATAGATGGCATCGCAAGCGTAATTGTTACAGTATGATACAATTCTACCACAGCTGCCATCTATTTATAAATCGGCTTGAAATCTATGTGTTTCATACACGCAATCTACTACAAGTAACCATAATGTCTGCGGGGGGGGGGGGGTATTGGATTGACCCCAACTCAATTTTTAACTTTTTTGCAACATTTTTGTGCGTCTCCGTTATTTTATAGCTTGAGCCACAGATACAAGGCACCTTTCTATAAAAAAAACCCAAGTTGATTGATGGTGAAGGGACAAAGTATGATAGTTGAAACTCGATGCCAATAAAATTGAAATTCATAAAATATTGATTGATTGATTGATATATTTTCAAAAATCACATATAATGAATACTTTGTACCTTTGATTTTCTTGACATATTCCTAAATTTTTATGCGCATTTTGGTAACATAATTAGGAGACATAATTACTAGACACATTTTACCTTTTAGATATAATTTTTATTCTCCCCTACCCCAATTTTTCAAAATCATTTATTCGATGGATGGACCATGGCTTGGTGGTTGTTATGCAATCTAATGGACCGAAATACTATCAAATGGTACCAATTGCAAAACAAGCATTTATCTAGAATATTCTTACTATTAATGACTGATTGCATGGTATTTGTTGTTCATCTTGAAAAATGAATAGCTAAAGACAAAAAAAGTTGAACTTGAAATTGTTGATTATTCGATTTCGCGTTACTTAGTTTTAAGAGAAAATATATTATTCTTTTACAAAGCGTAACATTTTAGCACAAAAAATATTTTGAAAAAATGTACACGCCCTATGAAACGTTGACCTCGATTTGGCAAACGTTGACCTACTTTTTCAAATAATGCAATACTTTTCTGGAGAGTTATTTGAATTTGAATTGAGGTTTACAACAATACCAACATTATTGGAATCAGAGGGGTAATAAAAATTCGCAGACGGGGGGAGGGGGGGGGGGTGGTGAAGAGGTCCAAATGTTGTAGTGCGACCTAGTTAAACTTGGTGTTATAATAAAAAGATGGCAGACAGGATTAAACGGAAGGAAGAATGTCCAAAAGGCATCTCTGAGAAAAGTCGAGGATAATAAAGGGTTAAAAAGGAGGGAGGCTTTTTTGAAAAATCGTCCAATTTTCCGGATTTTTCCAAGCTGTTAAAAAATCTTGTTGTTTTTGTAATATTCCCCGGGTCTAACAACTTCAATTAGGTGTGACGGCTTGGTGTTCCGGGCAATAATAATACAGTGTTTTATTTCTGTTTCCACTGCATATGTTTTTTTTTGTATTTTGTAAAAGTGTCTTCAAAGAATATTTGAAATTATACAATAACAGCATTTTCACAACGACCGAGTATAACAAACAACTTGAAATACGACGTAGATCCTCCTAAAATTAGAAACTGAACAAAAAATGTTTGACTAGAACTTTCATGTAAAATATATATAGATGCCTCATCAACTCAGAGACTTGGCAATATTAAAAAATCTAGGATATGTTTTTGGCAAACGGTACGTGACATTACAAGCATCAGTCTGGTTGGTGTACTTCGATAAATCGAAGGGGATATTTGGACTAATTTGAAGTACGCAAGGGGCATCTTGTGTGTTGATATCTAATAATTATCGAAATGGAGTATTTCTTCAAATGAAAATGCCAGCTTTTGTTCAAATGATTATTAAACATTAAATATCTACTTTACATATTTTTCGAACGTATGCCTGTTTAACATATCCGGTTAACATAACATGTGAAGGTACTGCGAAAAGCGGTACACCTCGAGCTCTTAGTATTTAATTTATTGCGTTTATCTGAAAATTAATTTGTAAACAACATTTTAATAATGATTTAACCACTTGCCACTTCCTATTTTTCTTTAGCTCATCAATAGTTGGGGGATGTTTGCATATATCCTGCCTTAAATGTATCCCCACCAAAAAACTTTATAGGGGATTTGTCTTGTGAATGTGCAGGTCAGTTGTGATCCATACAATAGAAGATGAGTTTAACCCTGGTGGAGGTATTCAAGTGAAGCATTTGAGCAGTGCGATGTTGCTTCATCTTTCCAATGGATACAGTCTCAATGTTAACCCCTCGCTTCCGCGTCAATGTCAGAATGAATTTTCTTCTTATAACTTCAATGTATCAGTCCATGTTCACAGGAAATTAACGTCTATTAGCATCCTAAACCCAGTATGGCCCAGTATCACCATTAAGACTTAAGTTCAACAGTTAACTTCTCAACATTACATGTTTGATGCCGATGGTCAGAAGACTAAACCTGAGCTCAAAAGTACATATTATATTTATTTTTTGGGGTGAGATATCATGCTGTAAAACCTTTTGTTTTGTCAACCGTATATCCACGCCATGCCCCTTCGTCTGCCCCAAATATTTACACTGTGGCAAACGGGAAGCCCACGCGGCCTAAGTGTGACAGCTCCATTACGAACGAAGGTTTTTGGATGATGCTGGAGTATGTTATTTGGTCGATATGTTTTGTTTGTGGATTGTTGCGATGGTTGTAGATTATCATTGTTCTCTGTTCCTACAACTGACAAGGTTTTGAGTTTGGAAGACATTTCAACTAAAAAAATCTAACATACATATCTATGTGCTCTAGCATATTTACTGGATAGTATTTAATACTATGCTATGCTATGTTATGCTATGCTGTGCTATTACACAATGCAGTAAATGTTTTATACCTCGATATTGAATGACTGTGATGATTTACATATCACAAGAAAATTGCAACTGCAAAGTACAATTTTCATCAAATTTTTATTGATCATGTGTGAATGATATTATTGTTTTACTGTTGTTCGCTGAAATCTTCATTAAAAATGAAAACAATTTCAAACATCGATGGATCGCTAGAAAATGCGAAGCTTTGATAACATAAGAATGTTTTTAAATCATTTTTCTTCAAAAAGAAAGTTTTTCTGTAAAGTAAAAAGCTAGAAAATGTTGAATACAATTTCAATATGGAGACGACAAGGTGAATTCGGCCATAGGTAACACCAGGCGAAAACGATTTGAATAATATTTCTTCGATATGAATTACACCATTCATCGTGAAGTAATATTGTCATGATATAAACAAATGCAAACTAGCATTCGTTCGATGTTATTGAAAACATAATTTTCCAATTGATCAAAGCTGATATTATAAACATATGCTCTAATCAATGCTAGGTGTATGTATATTATTTTGCAAAAAAATTATAAAGCAGGATTAATTACATTTCATTGTTCCGGCCGGTGTCGACCTATGAGCGATCAAATCTTAATGCAGACGGGGGGGGGGATGACCCTCTCCGGATTTTCTGCCATAAACAATTATTTTACTGTTACCGTAGTAGTTATAGCTCCAGATAAAATACCATGTTTGTTGCAAAAATCGAGGTGTTGGGGCGTATAGTTGCTGAGTTAGGATATTCCTTAAGGAATTGCTTGAAAATCACACCATCTCTATGTTTTAAGAATAAAATATCAGCTGTACTATATTTTACTTTTTTTGAAAGCCATCATTTAGAGAAAGCACATTGCTTGTAAGAACTTTCTAAAGTCTCATGTTCGGTGGCTCAAGTTGTATTAAGAAATCCAATAACAGTTTTCTGCTCTAATGCTTTGGGATTCGACATTATGTCCCACTTTTTGACATATCTTTGATTTGTCATAGAACCATGACCAAACAATCGACATGATTAAGACAAATGACCAAACAATTCCGCAACATCAAAATACTTAGAATTTTTATGCTACTAGCCGACATACCATTTCAAACAACACAAAATAGGTGACATTTCAAAAACTGCAACTGCAACTGAAATGCAAAAATTACAAATCAACCCTTATGTGGATTAAGGTGTTGTCTAAAACACCATTGCATGGGGAGAGGGGGGGATCATCTGAAGGGATTCAGTATTGTAAAAACTAAGGTATCATATTATAGGTCATTCAAAACTTCCTAGAAAATGACCTAGAATACTGAATGAATAATATATCTGCAAAATACACATCCTAGTTAATACCCCTGGCTATGGTAAAGTTCAAAACTTTAGACATTCTTGGAGTATTGGCTGAGAATTTTTTTAGTGCATCTCGAGACTGGCGGCTTGTAGAAAATATTTGAGCCAGAGGTTGCAGCAATTTTTATGATTTATTTTGCTTCTAATGAAAGAAAAGTACCATTCATGCGACCCCCTGATCGACATCAGGGTTGAGAATAATCTTTAAAGGGTGACGCATATCGTTTAGCAAATCGAACGCTCGTTTCTGGTGTTGCTCACCTTTTAGTATAAAAGGCCCGATCCCGGAATAATACTCAAAGGTTCACAGGTTCGAGGTCGTTGTGTCAACACCTCTAACTGTTATATAGCATAAGTATAGTACAGATTGTCACACATTTATAAAAGGGTGATTTTTATTTTGACAAATCAATTCCACATTTATGGGTGAAGTTTCAGGATCTTCTATTTGTGTATAATAAGGAAAAATTGGCATCTAAATTTCCCCATAACGTAATAGCACACAGCTTGGCATATGAAATATCCTACAAATGAAACAAAGCAGTTCTAATACAAGGATTTATATTGGCTGTTGTGCATGTATTCTTTGAACGCAATCACTCTATGGATAACGTTTTCAAAATCATTATAAACGGATTACTTTATCTAAAAGACAATTTCAATAAACTGGATTTTACAGAACTCCCCTTATTTCTAAAAAATGGACTGATCCAGTTGACTCGCCTGGAGCCGCCATATTGTTTTTATACGGGAAGCTTATCGGAACCCTTTAAAGTGTTTTAGAAAATAGACATGACAAGGTAGGATTATGATTTTTTGATATGCTAAAGTATTTAAGTGGCACGTTAGATATGACATTTTATTATTGAAATAGTAGGTCCTGTGTTCAATGTTCGCATTATTGTTAAAAAGTCAAAATAACTTTAAAGTCATGAAAAACAGTAAATGAATGATACAAACATATTTTCAAACTTAACTGTAGGCCTTTAATTCGTTAGGCGATTCATGCAATAAACAAACTTGTTCAGCTATGAATGTCATTCAATGCTCTCTCTACATAAAACTTTAACGACTTCAGAGTTAATATTGCAGTACAGTCTGTACATTATACTTAACATAATTTTGTATTATCTACGCTGCGAAATAATCTTATCTCCAAAATCACAGATTTTTCTTTTTAACAATATGTTTCATATAAAACTGAACGGCATCTTTAACTTCGTTTACATCGACGTTGAGTGTAGCTTCACAACCGAACTTTGAAGATACACCATGATAATGATGCCCGAGAGAGATTGCTAACTGTCTGTAGCATAAATTCAGATGAGGATGGTTACACACTATCTCGATCACAAACAAACCCGGAGTAGAAAACAAAGTGTTCGCTAGTCCAGCTCCATGTGGTGCAACAACGAGTCTGGCTTGATGGAAAAGTTTTCTCGTGTCAGAGAATGACGGAAGGTTGTCGTCTGCGTAAATAAAAAGTTCCATATCGTTCTGTTTCGCAATATTATTCAGAAATGAAGCTATTACATCATGCTGAACTAAAATTCTATGTTTGGTCCTTTTTATTAAGATGATATAGTTTTTGGGTGGTATATGTATACTTGGACTTATATATTTCTCGAACTCCCTCGACATCTGATATACTCCCGATTGAGGGGACTTATACATACCACAGGGCGTACCTTCCGGGAAATACACTCTAGCTGCGAGTATTGGTCCAATGTTATCACATATTACCAGTTCAGATATATTTCTAGAGGGAAATAAAGTCTGGAGTGAAGAATTCATGAACGCAGTGCAAGCGACATATATTTTGATTTCAGAGCGATGGTCTATAAATCCAATATACCGTGATAATCTTGGTAGAGATTCCACCATTCCGTGGTAAAATGCTGCTGACCAAAATTGTGTTATTACAAATACTTCTCCGTAACGGGGCAATTTATCCAGTTTATCTTTGATAGCCCTGATAAAATGTTTTTTGGAAGCTTGAATCGCCTCGGGTCTGGCGAGACAACTATATGGTATAACTTGCAGGTCGCCGACAAAAACTACACCATCATTCGAGATGATTCCATTTTGTATTAAATGAATGAAACTAGATACTGTCCCCAATTGGAATACTTCCTTTGTAAGTTTAAAATTTAGTGGTAATTTGAATCGCAGTTTGGGTTCAGGTCTCTGTGCAGAAAAGGTCTCCTCCATATTTGAAGTACAGGAGTTGGAATAAGGTATATTGCCTTTGTAATCGGCAAGTGCTGTACACAAAGATTTGCTTCCTATCCATCGAAATACACCATGTCCATCTTTGTCAGAATCAGTTGTTTGAAAGAGCAGCGTTTTGATATTGTGCTCTGTGGCAATGTGGATAAAATAATCATCTCGACTTGAAGTAACGTCTTTGAATATGCCAGATTGGGGCATTGAAAAATGAGCCTCTAGAATCCCCTTCGATCTGTGTTCATCCAAATGCTGTTCTATCGTAACACGGCTATCGGAAATTGCAACGAAATGTGGATGGATGTCACCGTAGTGCCTTGAACTCTTGTATGCCGGTTTGGGAGGCTCGTTTTGTGCCGTTTCAAACATGATGAGGCTGAACACTGTTATTACTGCTAGGAAAATGATAGTCAGCATGATTTTCCTTAGATGCTTCATTCTAAATCCAAGTATACATAAAGACACTTTGCTATTATAATCATACACTGGCGTTTAACATATCTTAAACACCATGCCCAGTAGCATAAAACTAACGACACACGTTTCTCTAATGTTTCTCTATATTATGGTGTTTTATTAAATCCTTTAATCAATTCCTCTGTTTTATTTTTTCTAGCGGGTGATAACACTATGACTTTTAACTATACCGATGATTTAATAAACGGCCTATACATATTGAGCGTACACGTTGATCAGTGTGTGAGTAAATATATAGAACGAACTTATATTTTTATTCTATGCAAAAAAGAAATAGTGTAATTTTCAAGAAATTTCTTAAATAAAAATCCAAGTTTCCACCATCCTTACTTTGTCAATAAATCCCTGATCATCTTGATTTTTGTACCAAACGTGGTATTTTCTGTAGCTATCACTACTACTGGGTGTAAAGAAAACTTATCCAAAACAAATTGCCAAATCTTGGAAAATACACAATAGTAGATGGTTTAACTGCATTTTAGGGGGGTCTGGACTTCAATCTACGATGTAAACGTTTTCTTTGATATGAGAGTACCCTCGGACCATAGAATCAAATTTATCCAAAGACACACGCCAGATGGCGCTTTATATGGGAAATATTCAAAATTTTCAAAATGGCCGCCAAAAATACAACGGAGACAATATATTTTCTTCAATGCATACTATAATGATACGATTGGTGCCTAAATATACATTTTGTGGGTGAAGAATCAATTTAGTATGGGTTTGAGTCTTGAAAATTAGGAACTTCCTCTTTATATTAAAAAATTATGCCTTTTCAAAATGGCTGCCAGAGATGTAACAAAGATGATATCTTCACTTGTATACATGCTAGCGCTACAATAGTAAGATTGATGTCCAAGTATACATTAATGGGTGGTAGAATTCATTTGATAAGGTTTATAGTCTTTATTTTCCCAGTGAGGAAACTTTTGATATGTTTTAATTGAGAAAAACAAGATCATATTTTTAAAAAATAAGCTTAACATTTTTAAAAAGTGCCAAGGTGGGATCCTAATCCATAATTTTCCAGAAAGTTGGATTCATATTTTACAATCATGGGGACTTCACTTGAAATAAAACACATTGTTTTAATAATAAACACTGTATTTATGGTCAGGAAGTACTCGTAGTGAAAGACATATTGCAGTTTAAAATCTTAAAATCTTAATCTCTTAAATGTTCAAATGAGAGAATAAGAATATCTTTCTCAATATGACAATATTCAATGCTGTATTTGTGTACATACAACATGTCTTTTTCAAAATGGTTGCCAATCAACAACAAGCTTAATACATGTAGTTTGTTGGTTGGATTAGTGGAATACTCGGTAAACAGAGACATCTTCCATGATTTGGTCAGAGGAGATGAAGAGGGTTCTGCAATACTGTCATAATATGCAGCCCTTGGAATATATTCCGATCTTCAAGATTTTCTCTCGTCAGAAGGTTTCTGGCCCTTTCTAGCTATAGGTACATATGTATGTCTGTCCTGCGTGGTTTCTATCTTTCACATTTCTCTCTTATGTATGTTGCACTGCAACAACTTAAGTTGCACTACCATTGCAGATGCATGTTTATTGCAAGTTATTAAAGAGACACTGGTCTTTCTGGTGAATTTGAGTAAAAAGAATATTGAAAGATAAATACACATTTGCTGTGTTAAGCTGTGATTATTTTTAAGGCTCATAATCCAATTTGCTAGATGCGAGTAGTAACAATCTTTATTTTTGTCATTAAAAATTCAAAATTCAGTCTAACTGATATTGAATTTGGAATCGTAATGAAAAAATGCATCAAGAAATATGGTTTTGAAATGAGTCCATCAACTTTAAAATTGAATTTTCTTCGAAAATGTGACATTTAGGTCAGGGAGATTCCCCATAGTCCCCATGTTGTAAAACACAAAAAGTGAAACAACTTTTTTCTTATGTTGTGCAGATAATATTTTCTTGAACTGGAGATATTTTAATTTGTACAACTATCAGATACAAAAGAGTAATTTGAAATGTGATCAACTAAAAATTAAGACTATTCAATTTTAAGGGAACTTTGTAATACCCTGCAATGTTATTTCACCTGAATTAACTACCTGGTGGGGAAAATGGTAACTACCTAATTGCGTCTAAGTAATACATAGATTTTACAGGGTGACCCCAAAAAAATGCAACCCTTCATTTCTTCTATATTTTTCTTAAATGGAGGTAAATTGCTCTGAGATTCAGCACACAAGGACTTCATTCCATGTGGGATCCTCTGGCAAAGTTTTAATAATCATAGTCTTATATTGATAGAGTTATGGTTGTTTCAAAATATGCTCCAATTTCGCAGAAAACAAACTTGCAATGTTCAAGGAAACCTGTTTACAACACGGATGCATTCTTCCCCATGAGTATTGCTCAAATTTTGCAGAAATTGATTGTTGGAGTTCTGCAATTGCGGTAGGGTTATTTTCATACACATTATCCTTTAAATAACCCTATATAAAGTCAGGGGCATTGAGATCAAGAATGTGGGATGACCATGGGTTCTCCGTCCTAGGAGAGATAATCTTCTCATAGAAATGACTAGTGAGCCAGGCTAATTGCTATCATTAGAAGTGTGAGGAGTAGCTCCATCCTTCTAGAACCACTGTTCTTGTCTATTGAAGCCTCTATGTCACTCAAGAACTGCCTAGAACTTCCTGGGAATGCCAATATTGCGCTGTGTGTTAACAGTAACAGTGTTGCCATTATTAACCTCAAACCAAAATGGGCTGATGATTTCATGTTTGGAAATTGGCAGCCCAAGCTGTGCATTTAACAGAATGAAGGGGCCTTCGAAGCACTTCATCTTGAATTTGTAATCCCAGAACACATTATTTCTTGAGTTTACATGTTCAGAAAGAAGGGAATGTGATTCATCCGAAAACCTAACATTGAAAATGGGGCATATTTTGGAACGACCATAACTCTACCAATATAAGACTATGATTATTGAAACTTTGCCAGAGGATCCCACATTGAATGAAGTTCCTGTGTGCCAAATTTCAGAGCAATTAACCTCCATTTAAGAAAAATATTGAAGAAACGGAGGGTTGCATTTTTTGGGTCACCCTGTACATTCCCAAAAATGTAGATTTTGAAGCTAATTTTATGAAATATTATGCCCAGAAGTAAAGAAACTTTTAACAAAGATACAATTTTTGTTAGCAAAGATACAATCTTTGTTAGCAAAGGTACAATCTTTATTAGCAAAGATACAAGCTTTGTTATATTTTCAGCTGAATATATTTCCAATATAAGGTGAAAACTATAATCTCACAAGGCTTAATAAAATTGATTCTCCTACCCCATAAATATACACTTTTGACACCAATCGTATCAGTGTAGCATTCACTGATGTGAAGATATCATCATTGTTATATTTCTGGTGGCCATTTTTAAAAACACATAATTTCCTATAAAGTGAAAATTCTTATCATAAAAGACCTATTTAAAAGGATTCTATAACCCAATATTAAAGGTGCAATAATTAGTGCAGAGGGGTCATTCAACGATCATGGACCAGTGTCAAAATATATTTAAGTTTGGATATTTCATCAAGACTAACATCTATTTTTATTATCTACAAAGAAACCCCCTAGATAAACATTATTTTAGCTGATATTCCTCTTGAAACATGGTGGATCTTAAAATTATAAAAGTGGAAGTCCCCTTTTTGAAGCTTTGAACTGAATTTACACTTCTTAATGCTGAAATTGATCATTTATCCGTACATTTTCAGAAAATAGGTATGTCAAGGAAGATGTTAAACCAAATGTTGCCTTGATAGTTCAGAAAAAATGAAAACACTTTCCTATTTTCTCTACAGTCCTTATTGCCCCTTTAATGTATACTTTTTGACACCACTCTTATTATCGTAGCATGCTTAGAAGCGAAGATATCTTCTTTGTTATATTTCTGGCAGCCATTTTGAAAAATGCATATATTTTGAATATAAAGTGCAAGTGCTGAATTTACAAGATTCGAAACGTAATTAAATAGATTCTACAACTACATTAATGTATATTTTGACACCACTCTTATAATTGTAGCATGCACAGAAGCAAAACTATTGTCTCTGATGTATTTTTGGCGGCCATTTTGAAAGATGTGTGTATTTCCAATATAAAGCGCCATCTAGCTTGTGTCTTTGGATAAATTTATTTCTATTGCTCTAAGGTACGTCCATGCCAAATGGGACATTTGCATCATACAATGAAGTCCAAATGTAGTTAACCCATCTACTTCTAAACTAAGTATGTTTATTTTTCAGAAAAGAAGAGACCCTAACGCTCCTGTAGTTTGTAGATTGAAAAACGCGATACCTTGGACACCTGCTCCAAAGACATTTGTACTTCAAAACGCAGGCAGGGGTGACTGCAACCGCAATAAAACCCGAAAAACTTCCTAATCATGGTGTTTTGGCACTTCAAATTTGGCACAAATTATTTTCATTCAATGTGTAGTAAATCTGTAGAGTGTCATCAAATTCACTCCATGGACTTAAATAAATTAGATGAAGATAACTTTTGCCAAAATTAAAGTGCCAAAACACCATCGTTAGAGAGTTATTTGGTTTTATGGTGGTTGCAGTCACCCCTGATATCGTTTTGAAGTATTTTCTATTACGAATGTCTTTTGAGAAGGTTCTTGCTGGAAAAATAAACATAATTTGTTTGTTTTTTCCAAGATAAAGCGATTTCTTTCGGTTGCGTTTTTGAGCACCCCAGTACGACTGTAGAAAATTATCTGTTCATGGCATAGAAGTACATGGGAAAATCCGTAGAGAGGGGGGGGGATGGAATCCCGGCTGTCCACAAAAGGGTTAATAATTGCTGGAGTAAAACACTAATTTAACAGAATGGGCTAAAGCTGAACACTCGTCAAATCATTGCATGATTACAGTTAGGTGAAAACTATTTTTAGGCTGCGTAATGGCAGCTTGACAAGTGACATAAATACCAGTTTTAGTCTGCGTAATGGCTAGTTTGACAACTGTTTATTTAAAAATTACTATATCTACTTTGAAAAGGACAAAAACGCATTATGAATCACCGTACACAACTTATTTACGGTCGGAAAATTTACCTGGATGATCTGCAACCATAGTTTAATCAATTCTATCGCTTTGGAAAACGTTGGTGTAATAT